CTGCCCTTACAGAGTGAACTGCACTCTATTCTCCATTTTTTTTTCCCTATTCATCTAGGGGTGTCTTAAGAATATCCAACACTGGCTACTCCCTATCTTCCTGTCTGCAAGATGCAGCAAAAGTCAAACAAGGGAAGAAATTAGACAGTGAGGAAAGGGTAACCAAACTCCCAAACAAAACCCAGTTTTCAAAGGGAATTTGCAGGTGACTGTGGTGTGGCTGGGACAATATCTGAGGTCACTGGCAGCGAGTCCAAGACCTAACATCAGTGCACAAACTGACTTAGTGGAGCCCGTTCTATATGGAGAGACACCTTGTCCAGCCTAGACACAGAGGTGTGGGGTGGAGAGGAGCCTTGGTCCTGCCTCCACTAGATGATGAAACAGACTTAGACTTCCTATGGGAGGCCTTACCCTCTCGGAGGAGCAGATGGGAGGGGGAGGGACAAGGAGGGGGGAGGGGACGGAGGAGGAACGGGGCTTGGAATGTAAAAAATAAATTAATTTAAAGACACACACACAAGGGGGGGGGGAATTGCATCCAAAGACCTCAATTCCTACCACCGGTAGCCGCACACCACACCCTCAATTCCACACTTGACCTTGACCAAGAAACGACAGATCCACACATCCCTACCTGCAGCACAGCTAGAAGGACCTTGGCATTCTGAGGCTGAGGTTCCAACTCTGGCTGAAGTTAGTGTTTCCCAATTGGATTTATTTTTTATTATTATTATTATTATTATTATTATTATTATTATTATTATTATTATACAAGTACGCCCTCCATGCTGTGAGGACATTGGTATGTGCTAAAATCTGGGAACTGGGCTGGTCAGACAGACTAAGTAATAGCGATTTTTACACAGAAAAAAGGTGTTCCCAGAAATCAAAGCTGTTGGTCACTCTAACTTCATGGAAGCCAAACTGCCCTCCCACTCATAAAGAGAAGTAGGCGTGGTACAGCAAACCTGGCTCCAGTACAGTAGACACATACATTCCCAAGAACAAGCCAAGAACACAATTACTGGCTGGGCGTAGTGGTGCAGGCAGGCTCTTATCCCCAGCACTTAGGTCAGAAGCAGTTAGATCTCTGTGAGTTCAAGGCCAACCTCTATACAGTGAGCTCCAGGACAGCCAGAGCTACACAGTGAGACCCTGTCTCAAAATCATCAAGAACAAATTTACACCCAAGTGGTGTCTGATAGCTTAAGACTCTCCGCCACTCAGATGCCAATTCAGACAAATGATTCAAATTCAGACAAATGATTCAAAAGGGGGTCACAGAATGTACAGACACCTCTGGCCACAGTTACCTTCTGTGTCTGGAAAGCACCATCTGCGTATAAACTCAAGTAGCAGGAACACTGATCTCTATTTTCGTCCTGCTAAATGTACCTCTGGCCCTCACAAGCTGTTGCCTGAAAAAACCATTAATGCCACGGGAAGTCTAGTGTTTACATAAAAACTTCGTGCCGGGGGAGACTTTCCTAAAAGCTGCTGAGGTTGCTCAAGAGCCAGCAAACACCGGGAAAGGAGTTTTCACGCATAAATCACAAAAGCAGCCCTAACGGATCCGAGCACAAACAGCCTGGGCACACCCAACTCCTTCAATGGTGGCCTTGTTGAGTCAAAAATAACACTGGCCTCTTTGGGGGAAATCCAGGGATAAAATTAATTCTCTCTGTAAAAATTCTCTACTAGTGCATCCACTTGAGTCAAATATAGCCTGCAGACATTTGCTCTCCCTGGCACAGGTAACTATCGTAGGAACTCAGACATGTGAAGCAGAAATCAAACAGCCATTCATTTCTCAGGAGTCAAAGGCACTTTGCTACCAACACTGTGGTCCTGTGGCTTCTATTGTGGGACCAGAGTCACAAGAGTAAGGAGGACATTGGGAATCCATTGCACTCAGCCTCCTGTGTTAATAGGACCACCGTGCCCTTGGCAGGGGCAAGGGGCAAGGGAGGAATGCCAACCAAGTGTCAGCCACTTCTGGAGCATTCTGAAGGAGGATGCTGGGCTGGGGCTCGATCCCTAACTGATGGATGCTACCCAAGATGCCAGCATATTTAATAAGAACAGGACACATTATCTTACCGGATCCTCGGGACCTCAGCTCAGGAGGGCTGGGGTACCCTCCCTCCTGTGGACAAGAGACCTAATGGCTCAGCCACAGGCCTGATCCTAACTGTCTGCAGGAGGTGCTCACACACCAGAACCCAGGAACCCGCCTTTCTCAAGCTCAGGAGGTGAGTTTGAGACTCATTTGCCAAATTTTCTAATTATCAAGGGCTCTCACATCCTGCTCCCACCTCCATGAGAGCCGAGAGCCAGATGCAGCCCGTTCTCAGCCCTTTAACACCCAGCAGGAAAGGGGCCTGCATCCAATCCCTGAGATGGGCAAATATGCCCCCACCACCAATACACACCTTACTTCCTGCCCCTCATGGGACTCTTCCACGTTCCCCTATTGAAAAAGCTGGTTCTACTCCTCAGAAGCATCACTAGGTGGAGACCAGCCTTTGTAGAATGGACTCGGGCCATCCTTACCTCTCTCCCTCCTTTCCAAGTACAGAGTGACTTCTAGCCATGGTCATGCATTGGTGAGACATGTATAACTAAGCACAGTAATGTGAATGCCCAGCATTATCTTAAAAATCCCTCCTCCAAAGCTATTTCAGTGTTCGTTTGAATAAATTTTAATATTATAATACGACTACTGGGCTTGCTTTTCTCCTATTTCACAGTAAAATAAATCCAAGTGAGGGCTTTTTGGTATTGTTATTTATTTTGAAAGAGGATGTTACTTTTATCCCACCCTGGCCTGGAATTCGCCGTTTTCTTGCCTCAGCCTTCCACGCATTTAGGATACAGGTGACGAAAGACACTGTGCCTGGCTTCCAAACAAAGGGTTAAAGACGAAGCTGGGACAGACAGGCAAGGGGGGCTGAGTTACCAGCCTAGGATCCTTGCCACACCAGAGTTGGGGACACCATGAGGACTCTCACGGAGCAACGTGAGCAGAGGACTAGCCACCAGCAGTTAGCAGCAAGTGACCACACAGTAGTGAAGAGGGACGGGAAGGGAAGACGGCCCACAAGTGGCGTGTGTACAAAAGGGCTCCCTGTACTCTCATAACTCACTACCAGCAGCCGCTTGGAGAATGCTGCGGATGCATCTCAGAATTCTCACTGACCCTAAGAGTACCCAATCCTCAAATCCAGGCCTGACTTAGGACCCGGGTGACTGTCCCCACACCCAAGTCTCAGCACATCCATACACAAGCTCCCCTTGTAAGCACAGCGTTGTGTCCAAATGAGAAACTTGGTCTGTCTTCTTTTCCCCCATTTCTCTCCTACTCACCCCAGATTCTATTCCTACCCTTCCAAGCACCCAGTTTCCAAGCAACACAACTACATCGAAAATGAAAATGGAAAAAAAAAAAGCAATTTTGCACAGTGTTTCAAAAAGCAGCTCACTGTGGCACACAAGTGTGGGACAGTCACCTGAAGCTCAAAAACAAAGGATAAACCCTAAGTCCCGGGGCCCAAGAGCTTGTGCTCTGCCTGAGAAAGGGGCTAAACCTTAGAACACTCTAGTCTAGCTGGAAGGGAAGCCCCACGCGGGGAAGGTACCAGCAGATGTCTATATTGTCCCAGACAGGCCAAAGAAAGACTTCAGACAAGTTTTCTATTCCCACACGTTGTCAACTTCCCATGCATACAGACACGGGATGCTTTCTGGGAGGCAACAAGAATCCAGGACTGCAAAAGCTGGTGGACAAGCTTAACTTGCCTATTTGGTTCTTCCTATTGAAAAAATAATAATAAATCTACATGCATCTTTTGCTATTTCTGTAGAGGTTCATTTCCAGAATAGGAAAGATAATACAGGCTGCAGTACCTTCTGATTGTGACAAAATGCAGAGGAACAGCAGGTAGGGGATGTCCCTTAAGAACAATCAATCCAACAATGGACACATAACACAGGCTCAGGCTCAGAAGAGCTGAACGATTGTCCCAATATCACCATCCATGAATTAGCTCCATCAAAATTTCTGTCTCGTGACGCCCACTTTTCCATGCCAACCGTCAACTTCATGATATTTTAGATGGGAAGAATGCCCCAGGAGAGGAAGCAAAAGCATCAGATACCTACCTTGTTGACCTCAGAAGCCCACTCTACCACTGAATTCATCCTGTCAGCATATAGAGATCTCTAGTGCAAACCCATTAGCAATGCAGGACAGTGTGAAAATCAAAACAAACAACTCAGGTGTTCCCAGAATCAAGAGCCATCTCATGCTCATAGGGAAGCTGACCTGGACTCTCCATGGTGACAGAGGGAAGGGCAGGGTACTCAGCTAGGGCCTCTGAATCAAACAGAAGAGTCCAGAGAGATGGTAAGCAGCAAGTTCAGAAAACCCATTTCCACATGATTGCTCAGACAGTATTTCACTTGGAAAACTGTACTGACAGACGCTCTTCAGTCGGGCCTTCCCCAAGTTCTGAAATCAGCCCACGGACTACATTCAAAGTTTGCTGTTTCTGAGAGACCAGCCCTCCGAACAGAAAAACAAGAACAAAACACTGCCCCACATTCCAGGACCCAAACAGAACACTGCAAAGTGGATTCTTCTTGGACTCCGTCTGAAAACATATTCCTCCAGTACAGGGGTATATGCAAGCTCTGGCCTGCAATCGGTTACAGGCAATGTGGATACTGAACGTAATGTCGATACTGAATATGTGAATTCTTTTCAAAGACGCTATGGTTTTAAAGACTGTTTTGAACGAGAACAAATAAAATGGTCATTGTCAATTTTTCTGAAGGCATTCTAATTGCTAAAGCGAACTGACTCTTGATAAATCTACCCCAGTTTGTACCTGTGTTCTTGCCCTAGTGAGTGAGGGAGCATTCTTTGAATGCTTATAAAACCTGAACTTGCAGTCGAAGCACCAGCAATTCGAGATAGAGATGGAACAGAGCCTTACCATTCGTGGAGGTTTTTTTCAAGTTATTCAGGAATTCCTCCAGCAGCTGGGACTGGTTGGGAGAGGGTGGCAGATGTCTCCGGTCCCTGGAGGACAGGTCACTGTCTGACCAGGAAGTGCACAGGGTTGTCCGTGTGTCTGTAGGCCGGGCAATCAGTGTAAGTCCAACACTCTTCTCAGAAAACAAGGCCTCCATCTGCCTGATGTCAAGGTCAGACACCGCTTCCCCATTTAAGGTCATGATTTCGTTGCCCTTTCTCAGCCCTGAGGACCAGGAAGGGGGAAAACAGGAAGAGAGGGGGAGAGAGATTACAGAGATGCATTCTAAGATTAGAGCAAGCTGCAAGTGTCAACCCCTGACCAGGTAGAAAATGCATCATTAGGCAGAAGTTTAAGCCATAGCCCAGCTCTGAGCTGGCATTAGGCAGATCGTTCTGAATACAGTCTGGGTAACTGCTTATCGAGCATTTTCTTTGGGTCTCTCTCTGTCTCACACAATCTTCCCTTCTTCTAATGGACATTTGTGTGAGTACTGTGTGTGTGTGTGTGTGTGTGTGTGTGTGTGAGCGTGCGTGAGCGTGTGTGTGAGAATACTCTTTACAAACAAACAAGACTTTGTGTGTGTATATATATATATACACTTATATATGTATACATATATACATGCAAGAAAATTCTCAAGAACTCTCACATATATATCTTATGAAATCTTTTTTACACACACCTGTATGAATACTGTCTTTACACACACATAATACTTTATATGTGCATATATGTATTTTCAAGTAAATTCTTTCTCAATAACTCCCACACACACATCAGTCTAACAGTCTCTTTACACACACACACACACACACACACACCTGTGTGAAAACTCTCTTTATACAAACAATGCTTTATATATACAACATGTGTACTTTCAAGTAAACTCTTTCTCAAGAACTCCAGGGGAAATTATCATCTGACACAATTGCAAACAACCTCCCGAGGCAGATGCATCTCACAGTTAGAAACTCAGAGAGCCACACACAGCCCCACACAGACCTCCTCCATACGCCAGACTGTCGGGGAGAACGTCGCTTATAAATATCCGGCTGAGATGCTGGAGTTCATCCACCTGAGCTGTGACTGCAAACCCTGAGAAGGAAAACAGAGCTGACATGAGTTCGCCTCCTTTGTCTCCCCAGCCTAGGCAGGGGCATATCCCCCAACACCTTTCTTAAAAACGCAGCCTCCTGAGAAGTCAGTTACAAGCATTTTGAAAGTGCTATTATTTAGCAAGAGGAGAGGGAAAGAGGAACCCACAGGACTGGAGGGTTTAGACACACGAGTGTGCAACCTTAATCAACAGTTGCATCTGTACACAGCAGCACGTTCACAGCAGCCAGCTACTGGGAATAGCCTGGCTGACAAGTGGAGAGATTAAGGACAGACAGAATGTGGCGTAGACAGATGGTAGGACATTACTCAGCCTTAAAAAGAAAATTCTGGCACATCCTATAATGGGGTGAAACCTGAAGACATTAATGCTAAGTGAAGTAAGCTAGCATCCTGTGGATGCAAAACTCCGGTTCTGCCAAATGAGAGCTATGGAGGGTGATGGTGAGGGTGACTCACAGACACAGATGTACTTTGTTGCCAAGGATAAAGGGTTCAGATGATCTATTTTATGTACTTCTATCTCACCACAGTTAAAACAGCCCTTTATATTTTATAAGTTACGACTAAAGGATACTCTCACTGAAATGCAATGAGGTGTTTTCAAGAGAGCTAAAGACTAGGGTTGGGCAATGGTTTGGTAGACACTGCACAGCATGCGCCTGCACAAGCCTAAGGATCAGAGTTCGAATCCCCAGAACCCATGTAAAAAAGCCCAGCATGATCACCAGCTTCCCAGCATTCTTTCAGGAGGTTGAGACTCAACACTGCCTGGAAGCTTGGAGTTAACCTAGCCCATGCAGTGGAAAGCCAGCCCACAAATAAACCCTGTCTCAAAAAGCAAACACTCAACGATATAACCCAAGGTTGTCCACTGTCCTCCACACGTGCGTCCAGGCATGGACACACCTGGATTCACACACACAGAGAAAGAGAATGTGAGGAAGCTGCCTGAATGGATCCCGTGATTTATATAGATGTGTTCGCAAAACCCAGTACACGTCCTGTTTGCAATGCATGCTCCCTCAGACCCCGCCACCACTGCCAGGGTGGAGACCATACTTCCACATTCAGGCTTCCCGGCGCTAAACTCCTGGAGGAGAAGGAAAATGTCCTCTTCCCCCGTGTCTCCTCAGAGCCTCAAGCAGAGTCTATACTCATTCACTCAGATGGGAAGAAGACATGGCAGCCATGGGAAGCAAAGCGAATGCCAAGAGGAGTATGGGAAAGACAGAGGGTTTCCAAACGAAACCAACTCATACGCAACCAGTGCGAGTCTACAGCGGACATGGCCGGTCTCCGCACAAGGCAGGGGAATCACTACAAGTTCTGAGGACATCCTGGGGCCCCAGGCCAGTGTGGGTTACAAAGTGAGACCGGTCTCAAGGCAAACCAACACAGCTGAGTGCGTAACTAAGACAGAGTCCAAAAGTGTGAGAACTTGAACATATTACAATTTTAGTATATTACCAACTTGAATTGTTTTAAAGGAGGTGTCTATGCTGTGACAATAGTTTTAGCACGACCAAAACAGCCTCTCCTTGGCTGTTTCACCAACCTTTATCTAATTGCTGACTTCTCATGGGTAAAGGTGCTTTACCTCTTGTGAGGTGCAATTTGGGACTTCAGCAAAGTCTACCAAGACCTTAGAGCTGGGTTTTAGTAAAGACCAAGGAAAACGGACGTTCAGCACTGACGATGACCCTTAATTGTTTAAACTCGGGTCAGAGGGAGATAAGCTCAGGTCAGAGGGAGATAAGCACACAGAGAGGCTTATTCCAGTTAAGTCATCCACGTGTTCTTGAAAGGTAGCTAAGATTTCTATCCTGGTAGAAGGATCAGGAAAGAACAGCACTCCAGGTTGATACGACCCTAAGTATGAAATGAAGCCCCGTGGGGCTGGAGAGAGGGCTCAGAAGACCCACATTCTGCTCCTAGCATGCAAGTTGGACAGCTCACAACTGATTGCAATTCCAGACCCCGGGGATCAGATGCCCTCTTCCGGCCTCCAGGCAAGTAGCAGACACGTATGCACAAATGGATCAAAGCAGCCTTGTCTGGGCTCCTGGGTGAACCCTGAGAGCGCCACCACGCATAGTTAATTCATTATGTCAACACTACTGCAACCTGTCACATTCCTTATCGGTCCTGTGATTGCCTTGCCATCTCCCCCAATACTGACATGTACCAGCCCATCCTGATAGAATAAATAATAAAAGGGGGGGAGGAGAGGCGGGAAGGACAGCAGGCTCCTGGGGTCCGGAGAGAGCTCGCAACACTCACCGAAGTCAGTTGCGTCCCCAGTCTTGGTTAGCTGCACATCATATACATTGAGTGGGAAAACTTCAATTTCGTCATAGACCTAAGAAAGATGAAAGCAAACAGAACCCAAGGATCTAACGTTGCACAAGCTTGGGAAATTATGTTGACACATTCTCCCCCTACACACACACACACACACACACACACACACACACACACACACACGGGAAAATTACGATACTGTTTACATGAGGGCTGTTAACAAATCAAGCACCAAGTGTGAACAGTCTTCAAGATTGAGAACATGCAGAGAGCCAGTGAAAGAGCTGAGTCAGCAGAGTGCTCACCGAGCAGGACAAACCCCAAGCCATCACACGCATGCACGCACACACGCACGCACACGGAGCATCGTAGCACACATTTATATACCAGGCACTCAGGATGTGGAGGCAGGAGGATCAGAATCTCAAGGTCATCCTCAGCTACACAAGGAGTTTGAGGCCCGCCTGGGCTGTGAGATTGGACGTGGATGTGGTTGGACAGCGCCTCCCGCCCGACCCCCACGGCCCACTTGCCTGCTCCAGCATGTATTCATATGGGGCGGGCACATGCCACTCGATGCTCTCGTCAACCACTTGCCGAAGCTGAAGACCGTAGTGAGTGGGCTCCAACTGTCTCATCTGCAAAGAAAGCGATTGGTTCTTTGGAGCCTCATTGCTCTGTCCCAACATCACCAGTGTTCAGGAGGCTCACGACAGAGCACTGTCAAAAATCTCAAAAAGCACCTGCACGTAATTTGCTCAGTCCGGATGTAGGGAGAAACTCAAAATTCCAAGGCACAAACCAGAACAAGAAGGCTCAAAATTCGTTGTTAAGATTTCCTCTAAGTACTGCCATCACAAAGTGTGAGGTTCACCACAGGAAGTTAAGGGACTGCATCCCACCACACCAGCCATCTCCCTTAGGATGGCTTTCAGATGTTTCTCAGGAAAGTACAGAGATTTCTAAGATGTGTTCAATTCTACAGGCTTCAGGATGTCGTGGTTCAAAGTATTTTCAAAAGGAAAGTGAGAGCTCAGAGCTATTCTCATCCCCCTCTCTCTATGTGTGTGTGTGTGTGTGTGTGCATGTGTGTGGAATGTGCATACCTGCATCCCTTCCCTCTCTCTCTCCCCCTCTGTGTGTGTGTGTGTGTGTGTGTGTGTGTGCGTGTGTGTGGAATGTGCATACCTGCACCCCCTTCCCCCCTCTCTCTCTCTGTGTGTGTGTGTGGAATGTGCATACCTGCACCCCCTTCCCCCCTCCCCCTCTGTGTGTGTGTGTGTGTGCGTGTGCGCGCGCGTGTGGAATGTGCATACCTGCACCCCCTGCCCTTCCCTCCTCTCTCCCTATACTTTCAGCAGCCGAGTGTGTTTACCTCAGGTCTGTGCTCCAAACAGGATTAGCCAACCCCCGGCCTCCCACTCAGAAAGTATCACTGTAGCAGTTTGTGTCACCTATACAGATCAATAGCCAGACTTTTCTGAAGGAAAGGCACTGGGGGAGAGGGCAGTTAAGGTCCTAAAGATAAAATCACTCACACACACACGCACGCACGCACGCACGCACACATGTGCACGCATACAGGATGCTAATGCTTCAGTGCCAAGTATGAGAGAGGACTAAAACATCTTCATGCCTCTCATGAACAGCTGTCCCTTAAATCTTTCGGCTCTACTCTGCCACCTGGTGGTCTAAGAGTGTCAGACCTGCCAGTGCTGGATGGATGTATCCTACATGTCCTTGTCACACTGGGAATAAAGTGCAGTTGGAAGAATGAATAACCACCAACTCCGTAAGTGTCCAGGAAGCAACTGTGAATGGAAATGAGCTACGTACTTAACAGCACACAAGCCACTTCATCTAAGTAACGTGAACAGCAACAGATGTCACAAATGACCCTAGATATAGGTGAAAAATTTATGTGGGATAATGCAGGGTCTTCATGGAAGCATAGAACCATTAAGGGCTCATTAACTAACTAGACAATGTTAACCCATTCTCGTGTGGAAAGCTTGGTTTTAACACCCCACAGAGGAGTGCATTAACCTTCCTCTCCGTTGAGACATATGTGTTTCTACAGCAAAATCCATCATCACCTTGCACGCCAATGTGAGCACGTCTTCCACTCTGTGCTCAGGCTTCACGACCACAGTAACTCCCTCATTGTCCGGGAAGTGAACGTAAGTCTGGGTTTCCCACGTGTTGTCTCTGAGGGCGTTGTCTACTGCGGGGTCGTAAGGATGCCGATCGTGGACCTGAGTCCGGTGAGAAAGCAGACAGGTCAGATAAGAACAATAGAAACCACAACGGGGGTGGAGGGGTGGGGAGGGACAAAACATTCTCTCACACCACTCTGGGGCAGCCTTTGGGTGGAACCAAGCTGACAGACAGACAGACAGACAGCCTTTGGATCTTCACTCTCTCTCTATACAGACAGAGAGAGAGACTCCTTCTACTCTGCCACTGGGGCAGCTCAGAACAAGCCCAGTCTCCCTGCTGCAGAGCCCTGGTGGAGAAGAGGTACTGGGAAGTGGGCATCTAATCTCAATCCTTCCCGGCTTCCAGAGGTTCTCATCCACAGAGATTGGCATCTGTCTGTCTGTCTGTCTGTGCCCTACCCCAGGTCTAAACTCAACTCCCTGTGTGATTGTCCTTTCTCCTGTTTAACTTTTAAAAATCTAACTTCTAGTGGAGAGTACATCTCTCTATGTTCCTGCTGTGTCAGACAGGGCCACTCTGTCAGGAAATCATCCCCAAAGATACCACCTTCGGGAACTTTCCCAGACACTTTCCTAGATCACCCCCATCACAGCCAGTTACTTCATGTTAACCTACACTGTTCAGACTGATGAAAATCGTGGTGACTGTGCACTCAGCAGTGAAGCATTTCCTCGCGCTAGATCCCTGAAGGGACACTATGGTGAACCAAACCCCAGTGCTGCTACTTAGCCAGACATGTTTCAGATGAATGAGCTGGTATATCCTTTCATCCCTGCAGGGCCCGGGAGACCCCTGAGATTTCCGTCTGAGCCTCATCTACAAAGTGAATTCCAAGCCAGCCAGAGCTACTTAGTAATAGCCTACCTCAAAACAAACAAACTGCAATTTACTGAGCCTCTGTTTACCACTTTGCAAAAGGAAGCGTTGCTCACTGCTGATATTTATAAACCAACGAGACAAATCTTTATGAGCAAAGGAGCCCACATACATGAAGCTGTCTTATAGGCTGACAAGCAATAACGTATAGATTCAATGCTCTCACTTTACTCCACACAACTCAGACCTCACAACAATCACACTGATGGGTGGTTTTTACTGTTAATTCCATGCATTTCTTTAAACACAGTAAACTGTGCAGAGCCAAACTCGATATAAAAAAAAAAAGACATTCCAAAGAACAGGCCTGGGCAGAGAGGGGGAAGAACCCATCCTTCTGTGCTGTCTGTTTGGAAACGGGATACTCAGTTCTGAAGTGTGTTGTAACTGGATCCGTCATGACTCAACACTAGTGCATCTTCCTAGGAAGATGATCACGGCCTGAACCGAAGTCTCCTCACACGCCAAGGAGAAAAGAGAAGACAGAAGCAGATGCCTTGAGCCTAGGGTGCTAGGTGGGCACTGGGATTCTCTCTGCTGAGGGGACAGGTGGGTAAGGGCTTCCTCATTCCCCCAGGCACTTCTGTCACTGGGACAGGAGCTCTACCCAGCATCCTGGTGAGAGTCTTAAACAAAGCTCATTGAAAAATAAAACTGAAATCCCAGCAGAGGTCGCTGTGGAGTAAGAAATTCAAAAGAACAGAAACCACTGCATAGCAACTTCACTATGTCCTGTTGCAGGAGTTTCTCTTGTCCCGACAGGTCCTCTTGGTTGCCCTTCTCAGCCCCAAATAAACACACAAAAACTTTTATTAATTATAAACTGTTGGCCAATGGCTAGGGCATCTCATTGGCTAGCTCTCTCTTAATTACTAACCCATAACTACTAATCTATGTATTTCCACATGGTCTTGACTTACTGTAGAATACCCGGGCCTGTTA